TGTTCTCACCCGTACGAGCGTGTTCTCTCCCGTACGAGCGTGTTCTCTCCCGTACGAGCGTATTCTCTCCCGTACGAGCGTGTTCTCTCCCGTACGAGCGTGTTCTCACCTGTACGAGCGTGGACGAGGCCGGAGTGGGAGATGCCGCCACGACGAACCTCAGCTGCTCCGACTTCTCCGGGTCGATGTCCACCATCACCTCCCTCCAGCCCTTCTGCGTCCTCTACACGAAACAAACACACATGAAGTTATCTTCTGAACACCAGAGAGGTTTGTTTGCGCTGCGTGCTCATTTCATTCTGGCTCCCTCTGGTGGTGGTGTGGTGTAATGACACGCTGGTGAAGAGCCACTACAGCTCATTCTTCTACAATTTTGAGATTTTAGAAAGTTTGTTGGCACAATAAAACAAAGCAGCAGAAACAACATGAAAAAGAGAAGAAGCAAGTTATGCAGGTGAGATTTAAAAAAGAGGAATCTCACCTCAAAAACATAAGAAAAGTAAACAAACCTGAAATTTGTGGATCGGCAGAGCGTCAAAGAACTCGTGAGCGAGAAAGATGCTGAATCCTGAGAACAGAAGAAGAGAAACAGACTGAGATCATTCATCTGGTCCTGAACCAGTCTCAGTGTAGTCCTGATCCTCTATATCACACGTGTCAAACTCAAGGCCTGTGGGCCGAATCCGGCCCACCACGTCATTTTATGTGGCCCGCGAATCCGCCAGCAAAAAATAAAAAATAAAAAATAAAATGATTTTTTTTTTTTTTTTTTTTTTTAAATTTTGGAAAAGAAATTTAAAGTTAGACTTGAAAATAAAAGTATCCCCATGGTCGAAATTATGAGAGAGAATGTTGAAATTATGAGACAGCATGTTGTCTGTGTACCGACATTAAAACTATCACAACAGGTGGACAGGAGAGGGAACAGCCCGTAAAGAGGTTTCCCAACAAGTGATTGAGTTGAAAAAGATCAACAAATAATCCCAAAATGTCCACGAAGAGAAAAAATGATGCAGAGGGAAGAAGATGTAATTTAAGATGGGAAAGAGAATACATGTCTGTGCTTCAGGGAGGAAAACAGGTCTGTCTTCTGTGTTATGATGCGTGTCGGTGATGAAGGATACTATTCACGTCGGCATTTTGACACCAAACACGGAGCTAAATTTAGCCTCCAAGAAAAACATCAAATTGTCCAAGAATTAAAAGGCAGACTGCAATCACAGCAGAATATATTTACAGAAGCTACAGCCCAGTGCACGCTAAAGGTCTGTGAGCAGGTGAGCTCCGACCAGATACAGACTTTTACAAATGTCAGTTTGTGAAGAAACACCATCGCAGACCAAGTTCAGGAACTAGCAGCAATCTAACAACACAGCTAGCTCAGAGACGAGCAGGCACTCGTCTTCTTCATTAGCTGTTGATGAAAGCACAGACAACACGGACACAGAGCATCCATCCGTGTTTATAAGACCTGATCTCTGTGAGGAGCTCTTGGATGTAGCTGCCATGCACGGGACGACGACGGGGACATTAGTGATGCAGAGAGGTGACAACAATAGCTTTGAACAAAGTTAATGTCATAACTTGTGTTTGATGATATTTGACTTTGTTATTTTCTTTAATAGTTTGATCTTCGATAGAGTAATGTGGGTTTATTAACCCTAAATTACAATTATTTATTATTTATTTATAATAACAGAAATGTGCTTAAATATCATTTTACATTTATATAACTGCATGTACAATATTTTAACACTTGAATAAACAATAATCAAAAGCAGAGACAGTTATTTAACAATATGTTAGGAGTAGTTACAGTTATACAGTCTTACAGTTACAACCGGCCCTTTGAGGGAAACCGTGATGCTGATGTGGCCCAGAGTGAAAATGAGTTTGACACCCCTGCTCTATATGAACCAGTCTCAGTGTAGTCCTGATCCTCTATCAGACCTCCATCAGTAAAGAGACCATCAGAGAGAAGATGGTCTGTTTCTATAGAGTTATTCTTAATGCTCGTCATCGGAGCCACCGGGTCGGATTCTGGTGTAACCAGATGAACTCATGCAGGTTCACCAGAACCTCCACCAGCTCAGACTCCAGCAGAGACCGGTCCACCATGGACAGACCCAGATCCTCCAGCAGAGACCGGTCCACCGTGGACAGACCCAGACCCTGCTGCAGTAAAATGAGAGGTTTTCTAAAGGGACCCTGGTGCTCAGAGACACTACCACTTTAGTCCACAGGGACCAACAGAATCAACACTAACTTAAAGTTCCTCATAGTAACAAGTTGTCAAATAAATGTTTACTCTCAGGTGTCATCAGGTGTACCTGTGGGGACGTCCTCTAAGCGGCGGTACCAGGACACCGGCACCCCGGCGGCGGTTTCCCCGCGGCGGTACACCGGCTCATCCTCGGCGTCGGCCTCCCGGCTGCGGCTGCCGGTCAGATTCTGTGCCTGAAGACGACTCAGCACCGGACTCACCTCGACCAGGTGGAGGGACAGCGAGGCTCCGCCCACTATGGACCGCAACTGACCGAACACCTGAGAGACCAACACAGAAAGTCACGTCACCACCTCATCACACAGGTGAACACATGATGACACGGCGTTCTGTTTAAACACCTTTAGCATCAGTAAAGGTTTATGGTTCACGTTAAATTATAACAAATTTTGTCTGTTTACGTCTGTAGATTTCTCTTAAATTAACCAAAAGTTACCATTACATAATGCCTCATTTGCATATCTAAACATAACATCTCAGAAAACTTGTAATACATAAAATAATCATCTTAAGGTCAGTAATGAACTGGGAAAGTTTAATGATGATATCTAATCGTTAAGTATTTGTACCCTATCCACCTGTACTGTACCGTAGCTGGTTAGCTTAGCTTAGCACAAAGACATTTACCGGCACCTTTAAAGCTCACTAACTAACAAGTTAAAATCCGTGTCAAACGTCTGATGTTTTTGTGCTTTTGAATGTTTCAGACTCTTCATGTCTGATGATTTAAATAAAGTTCATACTCGGAGGACGTCGACGGCCAACGATCCTTTTCCAGGTCCGAGCTCGACCAGCTGCAGCTGTTTGGGTCGACCGGCTCCGATCCACTCGCTGACGATCCAAACGCCGAGCAGCTGCAAACAGAACCGTGTTCAGACATTTAAAAACAGTTATAAACAAGTGTTATTACCATCAGAGGAAATGTTTTTCTTTAAATGTCTTTCTTTTTTGGTGAATTATTATTAACTCTGTGACTTGTCCGGCCTCACCTCTCCGAATATCTGGCTGATCTCTGGTGAGGTGATGAAATCTCCGTCAGGTCCCAGCATGTCGTTCCTCACATAATAACCCTGAGAGAGAAAACACAGCAGACGGAGTGGAACTAGTTCACGTTTTAGAGACAGAAATAGAAGAGTTGGTGGTCAACACCAACACCATCTTTATAAACTGTATAAAGCAACCAGACTCCTTCAGTGTCCTCGTTAAGAGACGGAGATCAATTAGTGGCTTTAAAAAGCTCCTTAAAGCTAAAAAATGTTTATTAAAGAATCGGACGACTTTACTATCTGATCGTGCTGTAAAACTCACCGAGAATAGCCCTGAATTTAATTGGTCAATTATTTAGTTGAATGTTTAACAGAAAATAAATTGCTTTGTTAAATAAATTGTTACGTCACTTATTTTGTAGAATTATAAAACATTAACTGGAATTCGTTAAGCTTTTAAAAAATATATATAAAATATGAATAAATATAGAAAATGTAAAAATTTGAGAAAAATAAATCAGTGAATTTTTGCTATTTTTGCTTAAAGTCTGACCTCAACGATAAACGATTTGTTGTCGATTAGTTTTCTGTTGATCGACTTATTAATCATTGCTCCAAACAGAAGACGGTATTTTAAGTTCTGGGAATTTATGATGAACATTTCTTTGACTATATAATTAATCAAAGCTTAATCATTCAGTAAAGATATATTTTTCAAAACAAAAGTGAGAAAATCACTTAAAATCAAACAGGCCGTTTTCTTTCACTGATCCAGGAGCTGCAGACGTTCAGCACGTGTTAGATGTGACGATCATCACTCACCGTCACCGGGTTGGTGAGCACCTCTCTCATATACTCCGCCACCGTGATCGGACCCGTGGCTTTTATTTTGAAGGTCAGGTGTCGCAGCATGGAGGGGCGGGGCTTCTCCTCACCTGTCGAGGAGCTGCAGGCGAGTCTGGTCTGAGCTGCTCTCCATCGCACTGTCAATCAAACACATATACAGTATATATGTTATATACATGTTTAATAATAAAGAGCTTTTTATGAATTATTTATTATCATTAAACAAAAGAACAAAATACTGATTCAATATACAAATAGAACAATAACAAACGAGTTAATGAACATTAATGAGAGAAAGATCAGTTCTTGTTTATGTCTAATTCTTAAGGTCCCTGCATGAATACATGATATACATACATGCATTACATGGAGATGGAGGAGGAGGAAGAATGCATGAATAACTTCAAAGTTATTTTGTAAGGTTGTGGTATAAGACTTGTGCCCTTAGCCCAATTGATTTGAATTAATTAACATAAAATTAAACAAAACCTAAATATTTTGGAAAACAATACATCTATTACTCAGTAATAAACTAATAAGGGATGAAATAGGCAATTAATGTGAAATAAAACCTTAAATTATGTCAAAAATGTATCAAATTTCGCTGAAAACATGCAAATAAAAACGTATCTCATTATAACAATAGAAAGTAATTAGTGTCTGAATCAAATCTAAAGTATTGATCACTACACTCACCTGCTGATCGATTGACTGGACGACTGAAGACTCTGCTGATCAGCTGCTGCGTTTTAACACCAAAACAAAGCCTCATTCTGCTGGTTATACTGATATAAATCAACTAAGACGCTGTGTTATAATACATATTAAATCATATTTAGTTTGGCACCATTATTAGACAAGAAAAGGTAATTCAACTCTTAACTTTGACCCACATGGACCAACTCTCTGCTCTGCTAAAGTCCTTGTGCGAGAGCGACATGCTAATGCTAACCGAGTAACGAAAGTTAAGTTAACCGCCGTAACATTTATAACATCCGTGTAACCTTTCACAATACAACACCTTTCGTTGGTCCATGCTTGTAGTGTTAAATAAAAACAACAATATACAGGTTTTTTTATTAAAATTGTAACAAATCTTAATAAAACTGTATTTTTCTGTTTGTTTCTTTTCATTTTGGTTTAAGCCAACATTTGTTTGGACTATTTGCACCTTATTACATAAATATCTTTATGTTGACTTTGCATTTATTTATTAATCTACCTACCTGTATTTATGTTTACACTACTTGTATTTATGTTTTTCTATTATTGCACTACATGTTTGTTATTGAACTATATGTTTGTACCTGTTTTTGCATCTTATGTTCATTTGTTCATTCTTTTATTTGCACCGGGACCTTTGAAATTTTCTTCTTTAATACTGCCCTGAAGATAGATGGATGACAATAAAGTCTCTCTTATCTTGTCTTATAGCAACGAGTGTGGATCATAACTAGGATTTTATGATTTTAGTTTTATTTTATTTTATTTATAAGGCCGTTTGTCGAAACACCCAGAGCAGAACCACAGTATTTAAACAGAGAAATTCACATTTTATTTATTAATTGAAGTGTTATTGCAAAGCCTTTCTCTACACTTATTTACAGAGGGGTAATTCAAGTTGAAGAGTCTTTTTCATTTTAATTTATTTGCTTTTTGTAAACAGTAAAAAACAAACTTTATAGCACCATTAGTACAAAAAAGCATCGAAGCTCAAAGTGCTTTAAGTTAAAACTTTAAAGTACATACAGAAAAGAGGATGAGAACAAAATGACAATAAAACAACAGTGAAATGAAAATAAAAAGTGATATAATAAATATTTAAAAAAAACACATTTGCTCTATTATTTTGAAAAACAACTTTGAATGTTCCCACAAATCCTGCGTCAGAAAGGTAGGAGTGGTAAACTTGACACATTGCCGGGACCACAAACTCTCTGATTGGACTAACGATTGGTTACGTAGTTGGGACAAAACATTGCGATTGGCTCCTCGATCTATAGCCGGAAGTAGTTCTCCTTCACTACGTTTGCATTTAAAAAATGAATAAAACGACAATCATTTTTCGTGTACATTTTTGTACTCTCATTTAACCGATAAAAAAAGCATAACGTGAGGAAAATTACAAAAATATTTAGTTTTTTTCCCAAGTACGGAAACGCTGCCGTGACGTCGCCTCCTTCCACATCCGGGTCACGTTCTCTCCTCATGCTGTTTGTTAGCAAGCATGGCGGCGAAAAACAAGCACCGTAAAAAGTCCAAAGCGAGCGGTAATAAAGTGACATTTCACCCCGCAGACAACGACATGGAGGCCGAAAACAGCGGCGGGGAGGAAGCGGAAGGTCCGGCGGCTGATGGCGGTGAAGACAGACGGAAGAAGAAAGAAGAAGAAGAAGAGATCAGTCTGGACGAGATTCTACAGCTCGGAGGAACGCAGGCGAGTTAAATAAATAATACAAATAAGATAAAACCTCTTAACACACAGAACTAACAAACTAAACTAATATCAAATAAATCCCAAAACAAAATGGATTAAATGCAACTTATGAAATGTCACAACACACATTTTATTGGAGCTGTTTGGCAAAATGTGACAGAAACGAGTCTTTTAGGCAATTTTATTTAATTAATTTTAAGTTCTTATTCAACCATTAAACATCTGACAGCTTAATAAATAAACAAAAATGGTTTTATATTTGCTAAAATCAGGAATAAAATCAGGAAAAGTATTTTTGTACTTAAACTCACAAGTGTCACTTTATTCTGATGGATGAATTACAGATGAGTAACATTAACATCTGATATGAACTATTACTGAGTCATTACTGATTTGTGTGATGTTTTTCTTCTTCTCTTGTCCGTCTCCAGGCGGACTACGTTCTGCTCGCCGGCCTGAACGACTGCAACGAGCTCGTTGACGGAGGAAAGAAAGGAGCGATAGACGACCTGGAGGACGGCGAGCTCGAGAAGTTCATCGCCAAGCTCGGCGTCCGGGCGTTCGCGGGACTGCAGAGCATCCCGGACGAACCCGAGGAAGAACCGGAGGGCGCAGGAGGCGAGGAGGAGGAAAGTAAAACGGTAGAAACGAAGAAAACAGAGGAAGAAACCGCTCAGCAGAAAGTGAAGAAGGAGGAGAGACTGAAGGCGAAAAAGAAGAAAGACGCGGCGAAGACGAAGAAGAAGCAGAACGTGAACGTGTTCGAGTTCCAGAAGAGGCCGGTGCTGCTGATCAAACCCGGAGGGAAGTGGTTCGATCTGGACTACACTGCCGAGGCCTCCTCCGCCCAGCAGGACCCGTCACTGGTGACCCAGTACAAGGCGCTCGCCCAGCAGCTGTACGAGGCCGACGTGGCGCTCTACAAGAGCAAGAAGAACCTGCAGAAGGGTGCCAACTCCAACTGGATGAAGACGGTCGTCTCCTCCGGCGTGCTGGCGGACCGGATGGCGGCCATGACGGTGCTGATCCAGGACGCGCCGGTGCACACGCTGGAGCACGTGGAGAACCTGGTGTCCATGGTGAAGAAGAAGGGCAGCCGGCGGATGGGCCTGATGGCGCTGGACACGCTGCGCGAGCTGCTGCTGTCCGACCTGCTGCCGGAGGGCAGGAAGCTCCACCCCTTCTCCCAGCGGCCCTTCGACCTGTTGGAGGAGAAGGCCAGCGGCAACCGGGACGCCCGCGACCGCCACCTCGTCCTCTGGTACTTCGAGCACCACCTGAAGCACCACGTGGCCGAGTTCGTGGCGGCCCTGGACTCGGTGGCCCACGACACGGTGGCGGCCACCAAGGCCAAGGCGCTGGCCACCGCCTACGAGATGCTGTGCGGCCGCCCGGAGCAGGAGAGGGCGCTGCTGGGCCAGGTGGTCAACAAGCTGGGCGACCCCGAGTACAAGACGGCGGCCAAGGCGTCCTACCTGCTGGAGTCGCTGCTGCACAAGCACCCCAACATGAAGGCGGTGGTGTGCTGCGAGGTGGAGCGGCTCATGTTCCGGCCCAACATCAGCGCCAAGGCGCAGTACTACGCCGTGTGCTTCCTCAGCCAGGTGATGCTGAGCCACGACGAGGCGCTGCTCGCCGCCAAGCTCATCGCCATCTACTTCTCCTTCTTCCGCGCCTGCGTCAAGAAGAAGGACATCGAGTCCAAGATGCTGAGCGGGCTGCTGTCGGGCGTGAACCGGGCGTATCCCTACGCCGGCTCCGGGGACGAGAAGGTGAGGGAGCAGCTGGACACGCTGTTCAAGGTGGTGCACCTGGTGAAGTTCAACACGGCCGTGCAGGCGCTCATGCTGCTCTTCCAGGTGATGGACTCCCAGCAGAGCGTCTCCGACCGGTACTACGTGGCTCTGTACAGGTAAAGCCCTCCTCACCATCATCTTCATCATCTTCTTCTTCTTATTACTTATTTATTACTTAATCTCTGCATTTACACAAGTCCTTCTAATATATAAAGTCAGAGTTTGAGCTTGATTTTTTTTTGGGATAATTGTGGAATATTCTTTTTTTCCCTTCCCCTCCTCCCCCTCTCCTCTCCTCCTCCTCTCCAGGAAGCTTCTGGACCCTGGTCTGTCGTCGTCCACCAGACAGAGCATGTTCCTGAACCTTCTGTATAAATCCCTGAAGGCCGACATGGTGCTGCGTCGGGTCAAAGCGTTTGTGAAGCGTCTGCTGCAGGTCAGCGCTGAGCAGAGCGCCAGCTTCTCCTGCGGAGCGTTGTTCCTGGTGTCAGAGGTGATGAAGGCCAAGCCGGGCCTCAGGGTCCTGCTGCAGGAGGACGGGGTAAGAGGGTCGCACGGTCCGGATCGATGACTCGTCAAGAGGGTTGATTTGAGACTCTTTGATTTCACAGTTTGTGAGTTAAAGTCTGACATCACTTCCTGTTGTGTTCACTCAGGACGGAGAGGAGGAGGAGTTCAAAGACCTCGCTGAGGAGAAGGAAGAGGGTGACGATGATGAAGAGGAATGCTTTGTTGACGCCGACAAACTGGAGGAAGGAGCGAGTGTAGAGCCAGAGGCGGCGGAGCCAGAGGTGGCAAAGCCCACTGCATCATGGGTACACCACCAGAACCTGGAAGGTAAGTTAAGACGATGAAAGAAGTTTTCTTGATTTAAATCTTCTTAAAAAGACCAAAAACATTGTTAAAGTTTGTATCTTTGCTGTTATTTGTTACAGTTTTGTCTCATCTTTAAAATGTTAAGATGAATCTTGTTTTGTCTGATAATTACTGATGAATACTTACTTTCACATTTAATCAGACATCTGCTTTTAACAATGCAGATGTACGAAGTCATTTAATGTTAAAAGTTTCATTTATTATTTATTCTTACAGTCACAGTTTGTGTATTTTCCTTCAAGTTCTCTAGATTTTACAGTAAACAGCAGATTCTCTGTCGACATGTTGTTGTTGTTGTTGTTGTTGTTGTTGTTGACTGATTGTTGTTTTCTCTTCCTGTGTGTGTTCAGGAGGGAAGAGCCAGCAGAGCTACGACCCGCTGCACAGAAACCCGTTATTCTGCGGCGCCGACCACACGACTCTGTGGGAACTACAGAGAGTGAGAAACAAACAAACACAATAAAAACATTTCATCTTTCATCCAAATAACAGCGAGTCAGACCTCGTAGTAGTGTGAAATGATTGTATTCATAAATATTATGATTATTATATATATATAAGACCTGATCTCGTTAATGTTTCCTGTTTCTCTGCAGCTCTCCGTACATTTCCACCCGTCAGTGTCGCTGTTTGCAAAAACGCTCCTGGAGGTAAAACCATTCAACTCAAAGTCAAACAGTTTGATCACAGAGAACAAAGAGCTTCTGTGTCTGTTCACTTCACCTGAACGTGAATGTTTCCTCTCTGACGTCTTCCTGCGTCGTGTCCTCAGGGAGGCTCCATCCAGTACTCCGGGGACCCTCTGCAGGACTTCACCCTCATCAGGTTCTTGGACCGCTTCGTCTTCAGGAACCCCAAACAGCTGAAGGGGAGACGTAAGAAACACCGGCTTTAATTCTGGTTATTAGACGTTAAATCAGATGTTTTTACAACTCGCATAAATAGTTCAGCTGCAGAACAGTTTAAATATGTGGAATAATGTTTAATATTTTATCTCTTCTTAGAAAACACCGACTCTGCGGCGCTGACGCCCAAACAGAGGTTCCCTCTCAACTCTGTACCGGGTCAGTTCCTCCTGTTTGAGGGAGTTGATGGTTCCTGATCTCATGTTTCTTGAGTTTGTTCTGTTTTTGCATCAGAGGTGAACGTTCCTCTCTCCTCCTCTCTCCTCTGTCAGTGAACTGTGAGGAGTTTCTGGTTAAAGAAGAGAGTCAGATCCCCGTGGAGGAGATCTTCTTCCATCGGTGAGTCTGAAACGAGATGTTTCAATAATAATATTTCTGTTTAAGTCACGCTTTAGTTTCTCTTTGATATATCTGTTCTGTGTCTGCTGTCAGATGACAGACTGAGAATGAACTCTGATCTTAACTCTTGAAATAACAAGAAGACAAAATAAACAAAGATACAGATTGATGACGTTGATGAAGAGCGACCACAGATAAAGTTTAAAGCAACAAGGAGCATCGAAATGAGCGTTCTAATCGCTCGTATAATATATAACTCATGATGGTTCTCATCTGGACAGTTCTGCCCTGACTCCCAGCAGAGACACCTGTTGAAATATTATAATAATAACAACGCGCTGCTCCATCTGGACTCCGTGTGTCACGTGACTGATGCCGCTCTGCTGTGTTTTCATTGGACAGTTACTTCAGGAAGCGTCGGCAGCAGAAGCAGCTTCAGGGCCGTCGTCCTCGAGGAGACGGAGACAACGAGAGCGTGGAGGACGTCGACGACGAGGAGTTCGAGCAGATGCTCGGTGAGTCGAGACCGTCGGAGGAGGTCAAAGTTCAACAGCAAACGTACAATAATAATAACACGGAAAAATGTATAAAATCAGATTTAATTTTATTATTAAACACTTGAAATGAAAACAAAATGTAAACTTTGGTTAATATTTACATTTTTCTCTCATTCAACATATTGTTTGTTTTTTATGAAATGAACCAAAACTGAGTCGATAACAATGAGAATAAATATGAAGCATCATTTAAATCAAACACTTTTACTTATTGGACAAATGGAAAAACAACACTGAATGGAAACACTGAAGAAGAATTCATAAACGGTTATTGATTGTTTTGGTTACACTCAAACATATTGCTAGACAACGTGAAGTTAAACGTGTTTTAAAAAGGTCGATACTGACGAATTTATATTGTTGTGCTTTTACTTTGAAATCTTAAGATCAAATTGATGTTTGTAACATTTGAATATTATATTCTTCTTTGTTTTAAACACTCAAAAACTCTTATTTTTAAATATTTATTACATATGTATTATTGTAAATTTCTGTTTTATATTCACGATACTTATTTTATTTTCCCTTTTACTTTGTTTATTTATTGTTTTTCACCAAAACACCACTTATACTTATTTAGTTTAGTTCTAAAGTAAATAATAATGTTTATTTCTTGTGATTCTGTAGTCGTTGTATTTCTGTTATAAACCTCGTGTGTAAATGATTGATGCTGTTTTAACTAATAATAAATATTAATATGTTTTTGGACAGATTCCTGTGAAGGAGACTCGTACTTCACCGAGATGACCGTCGATGATCTGGACTTTGCAGGGTGAGCGGTTCTCTTAATGATTAATGATGAATGTGTTCTGTTCCACATGAACAACACAGTGAATACTGCAGTAATAACACAGTTTATTACAGTTTTTACTTGAGAACAAAGTGACATTCAGCCTGAAAGAGAGTTGTATTGATGGATTCTCTCCTCTCTGCTCGTCAGGAACGTGAAGAGTAAGAAGAGTAAGAAAGGAGCCGAGGACTCGGAGGACTCGGACGACTCGGACGTGGACGACCTGGACGACGAGGAGGTGTCTCTGGGCAGCATGGACGAGGAAGACTTCGGAGATGAGCTGGAGGAGGAAGGAGGAACCTTCGTGGATCCTGATGGAGGCGGAGACGACGATGATGATGAAGAAGAAGGTGGGGAACCGATCACGATGCTTGTTCTTGTATTTCTGTCGGTTTCCTTTAAAGGTGTTTTACGAAACGTTTTCACGTTAAAATGCCTAAAAACGACCCGACTTTTGTTTACTTAATTTACATCAAACTAATGCTCCGTTTAATTTCCCCTCAGTGCATCTCAGCGTTAATATTTCTATTGTATATATTATATAGATGATTATATAGATGATTATATATATATTATATAGAGAATATCAGATCATTATATATATTATAATATCAGATGATTTTAGCTGCTTCGGGGATCGAACCTGTGATCTTAAAGCAACAGGACGCTCCTCTGACCTGAATACTAAATGAAATAAATCTTCCTTTTCTTTATTTAAATGTGTTGTTTCTTTTTGTCTTCTCTCAGTTCCAGAGCTGGAGGATGACGACGCATTCGGCGGTAAGTTTACAAACCAACAAATCTTAAAATCATCAAATACATATAAAGTACTTCATCGAGTATTCACAAAGTAGTTCTTTAAATATAACATTTAAAAATAAAAAAAACAATAAAAACACTATGTTACAGATGTCAGTGGAAAGTAAAGAAGTACTTTTACTCAAGCACTTCACTTAAGTACAATTTCTGAGTAGTATAATTCTACTCTACTACAATTCAGAGGGAAGTATTGTTATTTTTACTTCCCTAATTAATAACAACACAACCAACTAATAAAGTGAGTTATTGTCCGTTGAGATAAAACTTTGAGTAAATTCACAATGTACACAGACGTATTTAAAGTAATGACAGCATCAATAACTATAATAAGATAATCTGCATAATGAGTACTTTGACTTTTGGTACTTTTAGTATATTTTGGTGGCAGTATTGTTAAGTAACAATTTGATTGTATGACTTTTACTGTAGTATTAATACTTTTACTCATCGAGGAGATGAGAGTACATCTTCTACCACTGCAGAGCGCCAACATTTCCACATAAATATCAATTAACATGTGAATAAAAGTAAATAAATGCATGAAAACAAGGATTTTCTTTTAATATCTGAGAGAAATGTAGAAAAACACTTTAAAAATAATATATATTAGTTAACTTATTCGTGTTACAGAAGATTACGATTTAAACTTTCCTGCTTCAAACAATGAAATAAATGTTTGTTTTTCTGCAGAGTCGGACGATGAGATGGAAGCTCCAGACATCACTCCTCGAACCAAGAAGATGAAAAGGAAATCCTCCTCCGAGCTCGACTTCTCCGAGTCTTCAGGTTCGTTCAACTCATTTCTCAGTTACATCATGATGCCTTCAGGCTCTGCTCAGTGAACATGAGTACTGGCTGAAGGTACATTATAACGTTATCATGATGTGTTCACATGTCATCTGTAAAATGTAGTTTTGGTGATAAACTTGAATAAATCCAGTAGTTTGAAGATGTTTTCACATGAATATAAAATAGATATTAGAGATGAATTATGAGCTGTTTAACTTCTAACACGAGCTCTAAGCTCATTAAAACTACTAAAAATACAATCTTTTATTTCCTTATCCTTTGAATTGTGTGTTTTTATGAAGGGGTTACCCTGCCATCAGTGAATGAATGAATGATGGTGAAAGCGCTTTGAGTGGTCGGAAGACTAGAAAACCGCTTTACAAGTACTTCTGCCATTTACCATTGTTGCTCCTTCTCAGAGTCGAAACCGGGGAAGAAGAAGAAGAAGAAGAAAGGAAGGAAAGATGCTGCCATATTTGCTTCCGCTGAAGAGGTGAGATGTTTTAGGAATTTAATTAACGTAAAATCTGACTTTCTGCACAAAATTTAAAGTCTTCTGAATCATTCAGAAGATATCAGTGGAGCTTGAATAAAAAAAGGACGAAGACCTATCAATAATGTTTTTTGTTGACGTAATGTTCTTTAAACCTTTCTTCAGTTTGGCTCCCTGTTGGATGAGAACGCCGGCTCCAAGTTTGATAACATTGGAGTGAACGCGATGGCAAACACTGACAAAGCAGGTAGGCTGTTCACACCTGTTGTGTATGTGACTAGTGCTGAGCATCGTGTTAACAACAAGAAGAGAAGGTGAAGGTTTTTATTCAGTTTGCTGGATACCAGCCATGTTTAATGACCTCTCCACTGAGAGAAACGGGTTGAATCAGGTTTGGTCCACCTCTTCAGTACTTCTTCCTGTAATCTTCCATTCGATCCATAAAACCAGAGACACTGATGTGCCTTCTTTGTGTTTTGTCCTTTCTAGCCCTGAAGCAGTTGAAATGGGAAGCGCATCGGGACGACTGGATGCAAGACCGCGACGCCAAGACGATGCGCAGGAAGAAGACCGCGTTCAACAAGAAGAGGACCTTCGGTCATGTCAGGGCCGGAGGCAAGACGTTCGGGAACAAGAGGAGGAAGTAGCAGCTGCCGTGTGTTCGTGGATTTTTGAACTGACAACTTCATTCCTGTTTGAGCGACCACGCGTCGTGGTCTTTCTCTCGGATGCCGTGGACTCCTGCCCACTCATTGGACCGGTAGTAAACTAGGAGGAAACACACAAGAAGAAAGTGGTTTTAAAAATCAAAGACTTTTATTCATACTGCCCCGATGTAAGAAGACATGTACATCAACAGAAATAAAAAATATTTAACGTTTTCTGTCTATGGTTTTGTTTTTAGTCTACATGCAAAAGTTCCAATATTTTCATTTATGCCGCCCTGTTGGTATTTGTCATAATAGTAAATAGAAAGTCATCGTATAGCATGTCGAAAAAAGTCACAGTAGAACATGTCGAAAAGTCACAATAGAACATGTCGAAAAGTCACAGTAGAACATGTCGAAAAGTCACAGTAGAACATGTCGAAAAGTCACAGTAGAACATGTCAAAGTCACAGTAGAACATGTCAAAGT